TGGAGTACAGGGGGAAAGGGAGTTGTATGTGGGTTGGGCGGCAAATGCATCATATAGGCCAACGCTATCTAAGAGTGCCAAAATAATTGCCCGCAGCTGGCATGGTTCTCACCCTCAGTCATAGTTAACTGAATCATTTTCTTCCAAACTGGGGTTATCCACCTCTCCACCCCAAGCGTCTGGGAAGAGGTACTCTTGCTGAGATGGGAAAAGCAGGCTGTCCACTTGATGTAGCATGTTCTCCAACAGAACCAGACTCACCTTGTCTCCCATGGCTTAGGCATACCTGAGGATGGCAACCTAGCTGTAAAAATCTGGTTCTCTATTTGACGTAACCTGTCCTCTCTGATAAATGCTTTATAATTAACTTCATATTCAACTTTATAATTAAGAAATCTGGTTTACCAGAATGCTATAGTGTGTACATTTTATGGGAATCTTCTTGCCCAATCATGGATTGCTGTTCATCTGAATTTTTAACCCTTTTTTTTTTTTTTTTTTTTACTTCATAACAGACTAACTTTTTCCACATATCTCTTAAAATATTTCTCACATTTGACATTTTGTCAGTTGTTCAAGTACATAATTGAAAGCCTCAAATTAAGAGACTTTATGTATGTTTTTACTGAAATTTTTTTTAAAATACCCTTTTTATTTGACACTTTACGATTAAAATCTCATTTGATGATCAGATTGACACCTCAGTAGTTCAGAGCCGATGCATCTATAAACCTGTGGCGTATTTTCCTTAATTTACTTCCAGTCAGCTCCCATGCCGTTTGGTGGATGTGATGTGGTAAACAATTGAAGCGTTATATTTAAGATTGATTTTGTGGGTACTCAGAAGCGACCGGCATCGAGCTCGGTTCAGGTACCATAGGCAAAAACCCAACAACCTGTTAATGACGTGCGCAAGCTAAGAGAACAAGCAGAAGAATGTGGCAGTTCTGCGTTTTGGCCACAAGTGCCAATATCATTAGGAAACTTTGTAATGTCTCTTTAATTGTAGGCCTCTGTAGATGGCCACTCACACTAAGCCTGGTTCTACTGGAGGTTTCTTACTGTTAAAAGGCATTTTTCCTCTCCACTGTCACTACATGCATGCTCGGTGTGAGAGATTGCTAAGTCAACAACAAAATGCAAGCTCATTTTGGAGGACTATGTCTTTCAAGTTAATGAATGCAAGACATGCTTGCAATCTGGTAATTTGGCTACAGTATGTGCTTATATTTTGTCATTGACTCTACGGCAATCCCTCAGAGAAAGCATGCATGCAGCAACAGTGAAGATGAAAAACTCCACTTTAAAGGGAAGAAATCTTCAACAGAACCTGACTCAGTGTGGGCGCCCTCCTTCCGATGAAGAATGGGGATTCTAAGAGACATAAGCAGACAAACATAAATAACACTGAAGCACTGAAAAGTTGATGGTAAACTAGCTCCATAGTTGGCTCTGTGTAGATTAGAAAAGAAAAATGATCCCCCATCCAGAAGATGGGTTGGGATACTGGCAACAATACTCAGATAGGCTAAGGTGTAGGTTTGGAATAGTCACCAATGCCTTTTTTCAAAAGTAACCTTTTCAGCTCGTGTCAGTTCAATCGGTTTTATTTATTTTTTTTATTACAATGGATTAATATTTTAGTGGGGGTAGGGACTTTACTGTTGATGTAGCCTTACTGTCCGAAGTAACATAGTCTGCAGATACACCAATATAAAGTCTGCTCTGTTTATGGCTGTTTTCAGACTTAGAGTTTAAAATGAGAGCCATGGAAGGCTGTGGGCAGCTAGATGAAGCAACCTGGATGTGTAAAGGAGAGAAGACGATGGTATGTGGTACAAAATTACTATGTAGCACTTTGGGATTTGTTTAGATATAAAGTGCATTACCAGTCCAAAGTATTATCATTATTAAAATGGAAGAATACGAGCTGCAGCACATGTAAAGATAAGCCAATGCTACCTACCAATGGTACAAACTGTTAATACAACCTACTACTTCTGCCCTAGTAGATACAGATACACAATAAGCCCAGCATAAAAGTGATGAATGGTTGAAGAAATGAGTTGTTGTTAAAATAAGGTGTGAACATTGACAATGCCCACTAACCAATCAGTGACCAACAGTCCTCTGACATTGAGATTTCAGGGCAACTCCGGACGGTATGAGCTACAAGCAAGCAACCACTAAAATAGTTGGGTTAGGGTAAGTAGGGCTGTCCAGATCCAATGTTTTTTTAATTTCAGATACAATACTGATATTGCACTTGTGCTATGAGATCCAGCTGATACCCATGACATGATACTATGTTAGTATGAATAATACCAGCTTTTATTACTTATTTTATACTGTAGCATGTTAGAAAAGGCTTGATCAAGTAGTTTTACTAAAACAGAGAACAAATGTAAACATTGAAAAGGTGTGAAAACAACTGACCCATGTAAGAGTAATCAATGTGTTACAGAAACTTTTAACAGAAACAGTGTTTCCATCAGCATAAAAAATATTTGAGATCTAAGTTGCTGGCTGATTAAATCCTATAGTCGTTTTTTGGCTGATATCGGACTGACATACAATATTAATATTGGATCAGGACATCCCTAAAGGTTGGTAATGGAAAGACTGAAAAGTAGAATCTATCATCATGGAATCAGATAGAGGTGGTATTAGTGGCAAAAAGGCACAAGGGTCCAGTGCAATGAGAAATATTCTCCTTTCCATTACACCAGCCTACACAAACCAGAGCTGTTGAAAGCCATGCCTTCATCCTATTCATTCCAAATATAGAAGCTCAAATCTGGACTTATTGGAATAAACTACAGTCTGTTATTTATCCAGTTTTGGTGAGCCTGTGTACGTTTTAGCCTGAGTTTTCTGTTTTTGGCTGAGAAAAGTGGCATCCATTGGAGTGTTCTCTTTCCATGCTTTGCATCAATGTGACACATATTCAAATATGGGCTTCCACATACACTCACCGGCCACTTTATTAGGTACACCTGTCCAACTGCTCGTTAACACTTAATTTCTAAGCAGCCAATCACATCAACTCAGTGCATTTAAGCATGTAGATATGGTCAAGACAATCTCCTGCAGTTCAAACCGAGCATCAGTATGGGGAAGAAAGGTGATTTGAGTGACTTTGAATGTGGCATGATTGTTGGTGCCAGAAGGGCTGGTCTGAGTATTTCAGAAACTGCTGATCTACTGGGATTTTCACGCACAACCATCTCTAGGGTTTACAGAGAATGGTCCGAAAAAGAAAAAACATCCAGTGAGTGGCAGTTCTGTGGGCGGAAATGCCTTGTTGATGCCAGAGGTCAGAGGAGAATGGCCAGGCTGGTTCAAGCTGATAGAAGGGCAACAGTGACTCAAATAACCACCCGTTACAACCAAGGTGGGCAGAAGAGCATCTCTGAACGCACAGTACGTCGAACTTTGAGGCAGATGGGCTACAGCAGCAGAAGACCACACCGGGTGCCACTCCTTTCAGCTAAGAACAGGAAACTGAGCTCATCGAAATTGGACAATAGAAGATTGGAAAAACGTTGCCTGGTCTGATGAGTCTCGATTTCTGCTGCGACATTCGGATGGTAGGGTCAGAAATTGGCGTCTACAACATGAAAGCATGGATTCATCCTGCCTTGTATCAACAGTTCAGGCTGGTGGTGGTGGTGTCATGGTGTGGGGAATATTTTCTTGGCACTCTTTGGGCCCCTTGGTACCAATTGAGCATCGTTGCAACACCACAGTCTACCTGAGTATTGTTGCTGACCATGTCCATCCCTTTATGACCACAATGTACCCAACTTCTGATGGCTACTTTCAACAGGATAATGCGCCTTGTCATAAAGCTGGAATCATCTCAGACTGGTTTCTTGAACATGACAATGAGTTCACTGGACTCAAATGGCCTCCACAGTCACCAGATCTCAATCCAATAGAGCATCTTTGGGATGTGGTGGAACGGGAGATTCGCATCATGGATCTGCAGCCGACAAATCTGCGGCAACTGTGTGATGCCTTCATGTCAATTTGGACCAAACTCCCTGAGGAATGCTTCCAGCACCTTGTTGAATCTATGCCATGAAGAATTGAGTCAGTTCTGAAGGCAAAAGGGGGTCCAACCCGTTACTAGCATGGGGTACCTAATAAAGTGGCCGGTGAGTGTATAGTAGCTGTATTGAGAGATCATCTGAGTCTTGGTTACTTTTATAACATATGAAGCAAGTCTGCACATTGTTCTCCAACCTTCCTCTTCACCAGCCCTTTTAACAGTCAACCATCCAAAGACGCTTGAATAGGCTGCATCGCTAAATCGACTTAAGGAAGTATTCTTCACCACATTTATAGATACATCCGAGTTGCTGCCATTCAACTCACTTCTTTACTATTTTGGTCAAAAAGCTTCTAATGAGTGTAGATTAGGCACAGTCCATTCCAGGTCAGACTGTTCACTGTCTGGATCTCTGGCCTACATATTTCTCAGTTGTAAATCCACATGCTGAGTGATGATCCTCTTCATTAGACAGTTCCCGAGGGTTGCTCCATTGCTACCTACTTCCAACTGTTAACAGCAATAGCTAGGTGATAATGTGAAGTGAATCTTCCATTTTCCATTTATACCGTTGGCTTTGATAAGGGTATAAGCATACCATTGATAGAAAAGGGAGGTAGGAGGGTTCGAGTCCAGTGAGCAACCTGATGTCTCAATTGTCAATAGTACACGTTTGTCCTGGAGACCAGGAATCTGACACCACCTTTTCACAAATACAACCACTTCGAGTGGCGTCTCACCCTGAGTGATTGCCTACAAGACTCCAGACTCTGACACCTCTTTATCAATATGGCATGGAAGCGGATCAAGAGAGGCCCGCCAGGCATGTGGCTGTGGAAGGATGGGGATTAAGCTTGTTAGATGGGAAGTGATGTGTTAACCTGACATTGACACGGTGTGCACGAAACAGGAATGACTGCTCAATGAATAGTTATTTTTTCTCTATATTTTATTTAAATAAGCACAACACTGTTCACATAGGTGTGTGAACAAAAGCATGTGAATTAATAATATAAAGAAATATTTCACAGCAGCCAATAGTCACATTGGATAGAACTAGAAATATCATTTTATGAAAAGAAGTCCCAGGTGGCTCCAATATACTTTGGAAATCCTCCTTCAATCCCAAGCAAGTAAAAACATATTTTCTACATATTTTGTGGGAAACTTTGAGGAAATAATATCACAGTCTTAAAATCATCTCAGAGGTTCCAAGTTGCCTGTGGACTCACATTTCAAAATATGAGAAAGTCTTCGATTTTTTTTTCAAACATTTTAGCAGGATGGTGATTTAGCCTCTTATTAACTTATTATGGCCTATTTTAAAATAAAAGTGCATCTCTTGTATCTATACAGCTCTCCCATTTAAATCTCATGATATGTCTTAAAATGGATGGAATCAGCAATTTTTTACCTTTCAATTCGTAATTAATTAACGGCTAATTAAGTAAAAAAAAAAACTGAAAGAGACTAAGGGGTTTAGCAAATTTGTATCCAGTCTCCTCTAATGTTTTACAGAAGAACCATAACTCACGAATGCAATTACAGCTGCAGGTATTTGAGGGTATCTTTCTATCAGCTTTACACATTTAGAAACATACCTTATTGCCCATTTCTTTCAAAAATCATAATGGGAATATCAGTGTTCTGCACTGACTAACATTGTCGCTTAAATATGGATCTCTGCAGCTCCTTGAAAGTTACCACCCTTTTCCTTTCACGTTACACTTTATGTATTACTTTGGGTTGGTATACCTTATAAGATCCCAATGAAATACTCTAAAATTCGTATTTTTAAATGGACAAAATGGTAAAATATCACTAATGTGAGACCCTTTGCAGCATTAGTTCTGAATGTGTCTGTTCTATGTTAACATGACACTCAGGGAATGCTTTATACAGCTACAAATGTGCATCATGTATTCATCCCTAATTTACAATGAGGAATCTCAGATTCTGTGGAAACAAACAATCACATGAGACTGATGAATAGATTGATAGTTTTAGATACTTAACTAAAAGTCTATTTTTTTCTGGAAGGTTATCTACAGCCACACTCTGCCACCACCATCCCCTCATACTTGTGGTTGAAAGTGACCACATCGTTATCACGATAAAGAAGGGAGATTGGCTTCAGCTTTGTGGGGACACAGCAGGCAGCAGTTGTTTGTTCAGGGTGGTTCAGACTCAGCCGAGTCTGCACTATGGCATGTTTGGTGGGAGAAACCTCTGACGTCATGGGAGTGCTGCACACACCATTGCACTTGTATGCTTCATACCCCTGAGGCTGGATAATCCATGAGTCCCATCCGATGTCTTTAAATTCCACATAAAGAGGTGTCCGCCTGCAGGACTCGTGGTTGGCACTACGGCGGTTTCGTGGGGGTGTGTCGTAGATAAGGTTGGATTGCAGCTCCAAGACAGACTGTTCATCCAGGTCGTTCTGTTCCGGGTGGTCAGAGTTGCGATTTGCACTTTCAATGAGAGGTTGTTGGCTTGTAATCGTGTTATCAGGAAGGTCATTCTCATGTCTAATCATCTGACTTCTGAGCTGTTGTCGGTCTTCTTTTTGATCTCTTGTCGATTCATCTGAAAACACAATAATTACTGAATTGTGTTGCCCCTCCTTGCTCCTGTCAATATCAACCTCCATCAAACTTTTTCCACCTCCTATTTCTTGTTGCATGGCCATTTGCTGATCTGCCCCCAAGCTTTCAATGTGAACCTCCAGCCTATGAGCTGCGTACCCTGACTTCTGCCAGAGTGTAACCACATGAGTGAGGTCAAATGACACCCAGCTATTATCTCTGGCATGAATGTGCTTTGTCACCAGTTCCTCCACATCCTTCATCCCTGCCACCTCCTCTTTATCCCTCCCTCTCCCTTCTTTCCCCACCTCTTTTGTCCAAACTGCACCATCATGTATCTTGTAGATAGTCACCCTGCAGCTGAAGCCGGCATGTTTCTGGGCTTTACGTGCAAGCATGAAGAGTCGCAGTTCAGCTGTTGTTATATGCTCATGGTGTGGTACGGAGATGTTGAATAGAAGGGGATGTATCCGGACTCCAGTGGTTGCAATATTTTGGAGGGAATAATCTGAAATTAAAAACAACACAAGAAGTATTTCAAAGTTGTTTTAAAAGATTGAATCAAATTTATGTTTACAACAGTTCTAAAAGCTGGATTTACAGGACCTTTCTTTGATCTCTGTCAATAAAGGTGGAGCATAATAAATCTTTGACAAACATGATCGCACTAAGTTCACCTATAATAGTTTTCTTACAGTGTATCAGATATAGTTTTTCAAAGAAGTCTGTACCTTCATTCTTGAAACTGCGCACAATGCTGGCAGATGGTACCGCAGTGCGGTCATTGGCAAATCGGTTGTAGAGCTCCAGCATGTACTCTGAAAGTGGCTCTTTCTGGGTGGTGGGCATCCTAGGCTGGGACCTTAACCTGGTGAGGTTTAGTGTGGACAGAAAGTGACTCAAAAAGTCCTGTGCACTGTGGAGAGGATTGTCGATCGCATCCATGCCAACTAATGTCCTGTGGTGAGTCTCGGCAGACTTGATTGGACTGCTGCAGCTCAAACCAGTTAATGCCACAATCACAATATTTATCAAGCCGAGGTTTGAAAAAACCAAAGTGGTCATTCTTGAGCAGCTGAAAGATTTAAATCCAAAGACTGAGCATTAGAAGAGAAAATGTAAATCTTCTGGAGACTTGCCTTCATCAAAGACAAGGAAGGTTGCTGTTGGGGCCAAAGTGAAAACAGCTTTGCCCTGGTTGATCTTTAAGTTGGTTGTGAGGGCAGGGCAGGGCTGTCCAATGTGCTCTGCTGACATGTTTGGAGATGTCACCAAGGCCCTGGTCTGCCCTCCTCTTTCTCACCACACCAGGGACTTATAACCATCCAACAACTCATTTAAATTTATCCCAACATGCAGGAAATTTTGAATAAAATTGTTCTCGCTGAACTGACTTTGAATTCAAACAACAGCTTATCCAAAAATAGAAAATCCCCTGCTTGGATTTAAGTAAAAATGTTGTTACTACACTAGTATCTAATAAACAATACAGTAGAGCTATATCTGTGTTGTTTTTTTATTTTAGATCCAGATAAACCTACCCTACTCATAATATAAAATGGAACCTAAAAGTGTTAATTTAAACCTATATATAACCCTTCATTCTATTTGTCATGGTAAAGACTTCCCAGGTGAACATTTCAGGTTGGAGTGATTACAAAATACATGGATGAATTGTAAAACTAACAGGAATTGGACCAAAAAAAAGAGCTATGTAATAAAAAAAAAAAAGTCAGAATTAAAGTAAACTATTTGTATTGTCTGCTTTAAATAAATTGTAGTTTTCCCTTTGCATATGTATGTTCTTTTGAGTCATGATTCCCCGCAGTTTGGATATTTGGGCTATTTCATACATTATATGTTATCTGAATTGTTTTACCACCACCATGGTTGAAATGTAGCCCACCAAGTTTAGTCATGAAATCCTCACATTGAAGGACCCACACATTGTCCTTGTCATTCATTGTAGGAAACATTTGCCTTCTCCGGAATGTGCAGATTTTCAAGATAAAATGTGGTCTCACTGTGGACTGTGACACTAGTATTGCAGCATCTTCCAGCTGGAAGTAGGGTTGAGCGTTGGAGGGTTTGAGTTGTCTCGGTAACATATTGAAGCTAAAGTTTTGGGTAAAAGTCAGGGCACATCTGTAAAACCAGTGCTTGTGGACAGCTGTTACAAAGAGGACTTTGAGTCTGCAGTTGTTTAAAAATGCCTCTAAAAATATATTTTTAAGCTTGTGTAAATTTATAATTTCCCTTTTAAAGATGTTTTTTTATTACTCTACCTAATGGTAATCTTAAATTAATCTGTTTTCATGCAAGAAAATAAATGATTTATTCTGCAGCCAATCAATATTAAGGTTAGTATGTCTGGACTTGTTCAATAATAATGATTTAAGCTCCTGTCACACCTTGACAATATAGACAGCGTGTGCCTGATGTCCCAGAATCTCCTAAAACGCTGGCATAGACTGAACTTTCTATTTTTTTTATTTTGGGCATATACATAGAGTATTCATAAAGAGTCCAGAACTTATGTCCATGACACCCTAACTTATGCATAATGCATGGCAGCGTAATATCCATAAAAACTTAACAAGCCAGTGTCCTGAGGGGGCAGCAATGTGCCCGAAGGCGCCCGGTCTGCATAAAAAGATTATTTTGATCACAGTATTAACCTAGCTGCTGTTTTGCTTAGAAAGCTTTTAACAAATCTCACCAAGTGATTTGATTGATGTGTCTCCGTAATTTGCTTGTAGATGCAACGTGTTGTGACTCTGTGCTATGTAAATAAAATTAATTGAATTAAATTGTTAAAATGTCGTATGATCTTTCCTGCTTAGAGTAAAAACATTTCAAACAGAAGATGGTCGTCTAAAACCATGACATTTAAGGTAATCCTAAATTCATGTAAACCTATAAAACCAGAGCTGTTTAAGATATGACACAAATATAAATGAGAAACTATGCACAGCATTTATTTTATTTTCATTCAACATTGCAATGCAAAAAGGACCACTGCAAAGCAGAGATGTATTATTTATAAGCATTAGCTAAGACACATAAATAGCTATTATTTAATAACATAGGTATTACAATAAACATTACAATATAAATGCCTTTATTTTGAATATTAACAGTCCTTTGTTACACATGTACAATCCTCTTTTGCCTTTCTTTATAACAAATGCAATTAATTTTAAGTGTGTCTGCTAAGATTTATCAAAACTGAATTCCAAACGTTTTGGGTGATAAATAACAGCCAGTACTCTAAATTGATCAGAGACTAAAAAATGTTTTTATACTTTTTCAGATCATAGGTCCAGAGTCTATAAGTGGACAATAAAAAAGAGCCATGTATTTTTTTTTCACTAAATCAAACTATTTGTACTGTGTACTGTAAATAAACTGTCATATTCACTTTGTACATGTTTTATGATCTTTGGAGTCATGATTCACCACAGTTTGCATATTTCAGGCTACTTCATACATAACATGTTATCAGTTGTATGTTTCAGGCTTACAGAAATCATCCTAAATCTTAAACCAATAATGTCTATTACCAACTAATCTCCAGATTAAATACATATAAGTGTTTGGCACGTTAAGTTCTGTAAACAAAAAAAGCTTTTAAACTTTTAAAATTTACAAGAATGAACAGATGACACAGATTTGCATTTCAACAACGGAAAGTGTCTCTAAAGGATTTAACTAGCTAGACTAGACGTGTTGTCAAGTTCACACCCATGAGTCCAGCGGGGGAGGTTTGTTATCCATGAGGCCCACTGCAGGCCTGCCAGCTCTGATGAAGTGTTTTCTCTCACTTATCGCCTGTGTCAGAAAAAAAAGGTCATTTACCGTAAGAAACACAAGAAGGGAATCCTGATGATTCATTATGTATGTCATCATCTGGAATCATTAATTAAGTAATCTTGACATTAAAAGATTAAATAATTTAGAAATCTGATCACCTGTGGAGCATCTCTTTCCACAACAGGCCCCTTTCCGTCTGCAACTCGGTCATTTGGCTCTAAGGTGGAATACACATCTGGAGCAGATGGTGACATGACATCAAATAGTGCCTTTTATCATCATTTAGGTTGAATATATGTGAAAAAGTTTCTAACCTTGGCTTTTCTCCATGAGAGGCAATGTGATGTCATCACTGTTTTGTTGTTTTCCATTCTTGTTTTTTTTAGTTACCCCTGAAGCTGTCGGCTTTAAAAAGGAAATACATATTAGATATCATATTAAATTCAAACATATTAAATATCACACCTTTAGCTTATTAGACATATGAAGTTATCTTGTGCCCTGGTATTCTGCAACTTATTGTTTACATGGTTCTCTGTTTCTGGATTCTGGATTATAAACAATGATTCATTCAAATGTATTTGTTTTTGCTTCAGATGTGAGTCCCTTAGCTGCTCTATAGTGGTAAATAAAGTCAACAAACCTAACCTACTCAAGTCAAACCAACCATAAGCTAACAAATATAGATGCATCGATCCAGTTTTTTGAAATCCAATCCAATACCAATACCTGGGCTGAGGGCATTGGCTAATACTCGATACCAATCCAAATCAACTGTTGAATGAATTAACCGTAAATAATGTCAATGAGGGCTTTAGCCTTGACAAAAAATGTTTTAGATATAAATTTATTGTTGTTATTTATTAAAACGTAATCATCAAAAAGAAGAAAAAGCAGTTCAATCTAAAGTGCACTGGATTGGATCTCTGATATCAAATCCAGTAAAAAAGTAATAAAGTAAATTTACTTGATAACTTTACTTAAGTACTTTTTTGAGTATCTTTACTTAACTTGAGTCATTTTTGGGGGTTACTTATAAATTTTTATCTACTACATTTCAAAGTCGAATATTGTACTTTCTACTGCTCTCCATTTATAATAAGCTGCTAGTTACTCGTTCCTTGTGGCTCAGTTTAGCTTTGTAATCCACTGTTGCTGTTTTCTTTTTTGAAATGCAATTTCAACATGACAGATAGCAGCCTTTGGGACTGAATTTGGACACCACTGTTTTAAAGATTTGCATGACTTTCCACAAATTCCATAAAAACTCAGTGCAGATATTATTTGTAGTTTATACATTTTATTAAGGTGTTAGTTGTTGCCATGAGGCCAAGTTGTTCAGTATGATGAGTTGTCAAAGCAGAGCTTTATTGTAGTTTCTTCGTGGTATAGATTCGAACATAAACCTCTATTCCATAGTGACAGTGCAAGGAGAATCAAGACTCTCCTGTTTGCTTTTTGGTTTGTTTTTGAATAATAAATAAAGTTGGAAATAGCTGTCATTGTTTTTTGGGGGGGATTTTTATATTGAAGTTCTTCACAGATGGTGTAGAATTTGTAGCAGGTGTTTCTATGCATCAATATATCAGATGGTTTCTGAAAATTACAAGGCTATTTAAAATTATTCTGAAAATTATGCTAAAATGTATAAATATAAAAAAATGGAATTTGTATTTTTGAAAACTTAAGTACTTTAAAATGCATGTACGTTTGAGTACTTACGTGAGTGAGTACTGTAGTTTTCAGGAGAAAAGTGAGTACTTTAATACTTTAACTTGAGTGGATTATTGACTGAGTTACTTTTGCTTGTAAATGAGTAAGATTTGACTATGAGTATCAATACTTTTACTCAAGTACTACAGTTGAGTACTTCGTCCACCAGTCCAGCTAATTAGTCAATATCTGTGCTGATATCCGATTCAGGTATTGGATCGGTTCATCTCTACCAACAACCTGCCTAAGGTATGTTTTGTGTTAAAAAAAATGTTTTATTAAGTAAAATACCTTAAAGTGGCTCTTGTTCCATCCCGCCTTAATCAGGGTGTGTCTTAGCTCCTTGTAGGCCCATATTGTCTGAAGTACATGTGAAGCTGCTTTGGTCTCTCGTGCCGATTGGCTGAAAACATATGGTTTTAGAAAGCATGGTGAATGAGAAAAAAAAAATCCTCATCTGCACAAAAACAGTTTCTTGTACAGATGAGGATTATTTGGTGGTAAATATGAGGCACTCTTAACCCTAAGGTGTGACATTTTCAGAGATTCTGAATCTTTTGCACATTCTATTAAATCCACTTTTAGAATTCTAGCTTCAAAATCACTATCACTGGTTGAAATGTATGTCAAATTTCTCCATCATGTGTTTATACCTTGACTTATTTATAGCCAC